TTTATTGATGAGACTATTTTGTTCACTTTTGGGACTTTTTTTTAATAACAATATATACACTATGTGTCCAAATTATTTTGCGAATAAAAACTTTATCTAAGGCCTTAATTCGGCGATACCCTAGCGTCGTCCCTAGTCTTTTGAGATACTCGATTTAAATTCAGAAAAACGATCACTGGTAAAAAAAATAAAAATAAAATAAAATAAATAAAAAAGTCTAAGGAAAAAAGCGAATAATGCAATTTTTATCATTATATATTTTAATATCTTGTTATGTAAATAATTAGGCAAACACGCAAAAATTATATAGTGTTTTAAAGAGTATTTTATATAATTTTTGACTAAATGACATATTCTTTCAGACCTCTTAACTACTACGTCAAAAAATAATTTCGTCAAATTTACTTTTATGAAAATAATCTTTTCCGTCGTGCAGCTCAGACTGCTTGAAACATTAATAAAGTTCGGGGAGAATCAACGTTTCGTCTAGGGTATGACGATAAACTACATCCGGCAGCAAGTCCTCTCTCTGATCAAGACATTGGATGTTTTCAGGAGCAGGGAACCACCTCTCAATTACTGTTGTTCCCAGCTCCACCTTGACCGGGTGTGGTGGCAGCCACCTGTTAGGGCTCCAGTTATGGGCAAACAGTGGGGTCGTAGGGGCACTACAAGTGCTGCAGCCGAAACAGAAGCGATGTGACTTGGGTAAGATAGCCTGACGGAACCCAGCCCTCTCTAGGTTGGTTTGAATTCAGATATCTCCTTCTTCTAGACTGGTTGCCAAGTTATCTTTTTGCGTTAAACATTTTGCATGTTTCGCAATTTCACAGATTACTCACTTTCGGCATTTTATCTATATAAATCTTCTGTTATAATGGCTTTCAGCATTGTTTGAAATAACTTACACAATTTAACATTTTCTTCAGCTGAATTCATCTATATCTTGTATTAATTAATCTATTCTTGTATTACGGTTGATACATACACATATACGCAATCAACAGAAACATAATTTTGCGTATTAATCCTTTAAATACATTTAAAATGTTTAATCATTTCCCCCCAAGCAAGGCGATGATGCCACTAAGACGCAAGAGGTACTGGGAGTGAAAGAGAATGAAAATACTTTAGAAGGAACTGGAAAACTAATCCTAAATAAGAAAGAATGGATAAACCTTTACTTCTGGGGAGGAGTGTGATCCGGGCGATAGGCGAGCCAATCTACTCCTATTGAGGAAATAAATCGTAATTAAAATTTCAGAGTTTAGGTGAAGACGTTAGAAGCGTAGCCTTAAAGTAGACTTTAGAAGGAACCGGAAACCCAATCCTGAACAGGAAACGAGGGATAAAGCACCTGTTCAAAAAGACCTGAGAAGATTGATTTTCAACACACACACACAAATATTTAAAAAAAATAATTTTTAATGTTTTTGTGTGTATAAACGCGTCGATTTTTGTAAATGCTGACGTTCATTGACGACATTATCAGAAAATAAAAGCGACATTTGTAGTAAATTTAAAGCCAAAGTGCCTAAAACTCAATAAAACATTAGATTACGAAGAATATTTTACTAAAAGGAGTAGTTGCTAGTTAGCAATTATATAATAAGGCGTTTACGTCATATTCCTCACGTATTTAAAAAAAAATTAGATAAATCTTCGGCTGTCAGTCAAGCTATCGGCCTGTGAACACCTTAAACAAACACGTACCTCAGTGTTAAAAAAAATGTACTTTTGCGATATTTTAAACTAATATCTGTTTCAAATTGGATTAATTAAATTTTAAATCAGTTACTATTCCTCGAATAAAGTTTCAGGAAAGTATATTTTATATCTGAAAGATGTTTTTAATAATGTGAATTGCATTATGCTGTCAGATGGGTAAAATTGGCGCTAAAATCAGCAAATTTTAGCGATTTCAAAACAAAATCTCCTTCCAGTCAATTTTTTGTGGAGGTACTTATAATAAAGCCACTGTTCTTTTCACTGTGATGACTATAATGAGATCAGTAAGATCAATATACGGTGTTAATGCCCACAGCCTAAATTTTACCTATATCTATAATTCTCAAAATGTGTGTGTGTGTGTGTGATCGGATGTTGTTTATGAGTTTCCACAGTTTTCATCCGATTTCGATAAACTATTTTTTGTTTGATAGATAATTTTTCAGTGTCAGTTTTGAGTTCAAATTGGCTGGAAAAAATTACAACCTTGAAGGTTAAAAATCAAAAAAACTGATTTTTTACACTTTGCGCAAAAATCAAACTCAAAATTTAATATCTGTAAACAACAGTATACAATCAATTTAGAGAGTTGAAATCTAACGCAAAAGATTATTAGAATTATAAAAAAATATTATAAATAAGAATTATTGTATATTATTATTATTATAACGGTGCATGGAAGAGTTTCCTTACTTGTAAGTATGAGACCGCAAAAACGGCCCTTTTCAGGCCCCCTTCAAATTGTTACCCCCACCCCCCATTTGGGGGAGATGTGCCTCAGTTGCAACCAATTGTTGTTACTAATGTTGATTTTCGGGTGGGCTGACTTTAAACTTAAACTGCTCCAATTGAACGGCAAAAATTCCCAGTAATGAAACACCCGGTCGAAGACGGGTTATACTGCTAGTTGATACTGTTTTCATGTCTGTGTTTGTGTAAAAATGAATGCAGGGGCCTCAGCTGAGGTTAGAACTCTACCCACGAGTCTCACTTTCTGCTCCGATAGCCAGAACGCCCTGCACATCTTTAGTCGTGGAGAGAAAATGCAACATTTATTTTTTTTTTTTTTACGATGATGTTTACTCTGTCATTTTATGTTCCGTGACCCTTCAGGACGTAGGCGATCATGGCTCTCCACTTCACCCTATCCCTTGTAGCTCTCAATAAGTTTCGTCCCTCTGCCACTCCGAGACCACGTTCTGTCAACCACTTGCTTAAGCCCGCTAGGTATATCACGCGTTGCTTTCATTGTCTCTATTTCCCTCTATCCGCCCTGTGAGTATCAGATTCTCCAAGCCCTCCTTTCTCATTACGTGTCCCAGAAATTTCAGATAAAAGAGATTAAATGCTGCTCCTTCTTTTATGTTCCGTGTCCCTTCAGGACGTAGGCGATCATGGCTATCCACTTTCTCCTATCCCTTGTAGCTCTCAATAAGTTTCGTCCCTCTGCCAATTTTCCTAGACCACGTTCTGTCATCCACTTGCTTAAGCCTGCTAGGTATGTCATGCGTTGCTTTCCCTTGTCTCTCTTTCCCTCTATTCGACACGTGAGTATCAGATTCTCCAGGCCCTCCTTTTTCATTACGTGTCCCAGAAACTTCAGCTGCCCCTTCCTGATGTATAAGCCTCCTCTTTGTTTGCATCCTCTCCAAAACCTCATCGTTGCTCACAAGCTCAGTCCATGATATCCTCAGCATCCCTCTGTAGAACCACATTTCCGTCGCCTCAAGTCTCTTCTTCATCTTTGGGAAGACCGTCCAACATTCGCTGCCGTAAAGAAGGACAGATGTCATGTAACAACTCAGTACAAATTTCCTTGTTACCAAAGAAATCCTCCTGTCTCGCAATACTCTACCCAGCTTTTGGAATGCGTCCTTGGTCATCCCAATACGTCTACTGATCTTAGTGTTACACTTACCGTCCTCTACAAGTCCCCAAAGCCATTCAAGGTAGAGGGTTACAGAATAAGATACGTCAACCCAAACAAAATGATAATGCCACCAAGACTCAAGGTGTCACTTGAAGTGAAAGAAAATGAAAAGACATTTGAGGGAGCCAGAAACCCAATCCTAAACAGGAAACAAGGGATAAACTTCTACTCTTGTTCAAAAGATTGGGGAGGATTGAAAATCAGATGACAGGTGGTTTCGATCCTTTAGAATTAGGGACATCATGAATTAACAAATAAGAACTCCAATTTTCATTAAAAAAAAAATAGAACGGACACAAAGTAAAGGTCAAGTTCATTATTAATCTTGCATTGTAAAACTAATTCCTAGCCCTTTAAATAGAGTTACTTTCCCAAAATAATTTAAGGTCAAATTCACTCAAAGCTTATAAAATTACATAAAAATATTTAAAAAAAAAAAAAATTTAAATCTTTATCATTTTTTATATAATTTAAAAAAAATGAAATGCTTACTATTCGTTATTCAATTGCCACAGAGACTATTTTAGGAAGGCGAATACAAATTTTTAGTTGAGATAATGGTTTTAAGTGGCAAATACATGTTGAGTGACTTCCTTATTCCCATTAAATCTGACGAATAAGGACATATTTCGTTCAAGTTTAAATAACAAGTTTATTTACCTGCATACATTATTTGCATTTAGAATTTAAACAGTTCGATAAAGAGAAATATTGTGTTAAAGGTCGTTTGGTAATGTTCTTTTCTTTTGTGTGAGCGAAAGAAAACATTTTTGTATGAATTCGACTTGTAGGATTAAAGTCCCTGAAATTAGATTCATTCGAAGAAGGTCGAGAGTTTTATTCGATTTGAAATTAATAAAACCAGTGTATAAAGGAAAGTCGGATTGAAAAAAAAATCTTACCGTTATCAGCTATCAATTAGGTCGGTTTCCTTTGATGTTGGGTAGTATTAGGTTTCTCTTTACAAACAGAGTAAGGGGAACGCTTCACACCTCGAACAAAACAGCGTGGTTGTTGGCATTGTACTGCAGTAAGGATATTTGCCAATCGCCCCACGCGGTCCGATGCGGCACAGGGCCGAATTTAATGTGGGGTATCCGAGCCTGCAGGGTCGAGCAAAAATTCCCCGTAGACCCCGTAAAAAACGGGGTCGGGTAGCTGTCTACCACACCAGACGAGACTCTGCCCTTCGGCATAGCCTCGTCTTTCCTCTCTGCCCGAAAGCAGAGAGTTCGACCAGCTCAGCTGGAGACGAAGCTCTAAATTATGTCTAAATATCCTTTTAAAAAATCGGTCTCAATCAAAGTGGGTTAGATAAATGTGTTTCTTTAATTTTTTAAAGTTTTCTTCTTCTTCTTCTTCTTCTTCTTCTTCTTCTTCTTCTTCTTCTTCTTCTTCTCAGTATGTAAGCGATCAAAACTCTCCACATCTTCCTTTCCTTTGTAGCTTTTAATAAATTTTGTCTTTATGTTATTTCTCCGAAACCCTGTTCCGCCATCCATTTAGTCAAGCTCACTAAGTATCTTGTTCGTTGTTTTCCTCTGTCCCTCTTGTCCTCAGTCTGTCCAGTGAGTATCAGATTTTACAAGCATATATTGCTATGGAACTTAGTCTACTCCATTGTGCGACATGCCCGTTGATCCTACACTTCTGTTGGATTAGCTACCGTCCTCGCCAGAAAAGCCTGGCGAAGAAAACGGTTTAATCGCCGATAACCCAACCATTCGGTGAAATTTTACCAAATATGGTAAATTCCTTTCTCTTTTAATTAAAGTTGTAGTCGTCAAGTTGAATTTATTGTCAAACCTGTTACGATGAACGACTAATACACTACGTTAGGTACCTCCACAGATTCGCTAAAAAATTAGCGTACCAAGATGAAAAAATACTCCAAACGTAAAAACAATGTCTTATCGTCAAAATTGTTATTTTATTATTAAGAGGAAAGACCAAAGGATTTTTGGATTATTGAATTATATTTTTGATTCTTTTTAGAATGTTCGAAATTTTGGTTAAAAACCTTGTTTTTCTTGCGTCAGCGGGACGACCAAAGATGAGTATAGGAAATTTAAGCGTCTTTTTTGAAGCGAAAAACATTGATTGGAAATTTCTTGCAAAAATGAAATAATTGTCGAATTTTAATGAAACTTTCAGGACTTATTCACAAATGAGTTAAATTATTTCAGAAATTTTATTTATATATATATTTATTACCCCACTTACTTAATTTTATGAAATTTTAAGAAATTAAATTTTGTAAAGCTTAATTAGTTAAAAGCAGAACTCCTTGGAGAATATAAATTATCAATTTCTTTTTGTAAAACAAGACCCCCAGTTACTGAAAATCTGCTCTAAATCGTAAAATAAAAAAATGCAATAAAACTAAGACATTTAAATTTTAATAAAATAATTCTCATATAAAAAGTAGATACCTCCACAGATTCACTAACAAATGGTCTTAGCATGACGAAAAAAATGCCCAAAACTTAATAAAAACAATGCTTGATCGTCAAAATCGTTATGTTATGATGGATTTTTTTTATTATTGAATTATATTTTTGATCCTTTTTCGAAATTTTGGTTAAAAATGTTGTTTTTCTTGTGTCACCATTGATTGGAAATTCTTGCAAAAATTAAGTAATAGTCAAATTTTGATCAAACCGTCAGGAGTTTTTACGAATGAATTAAATTATTTAAGAAATATTTGTTTTTTTAGAAAAACATTTTTATTTACATCTGTTACGCCCAACTTATTTAATTTTATGAAATTTCGAGAAATTCGTAATTGAACCGCTTAATGTTTATGTTAGTTAAAAGCAGAAGTCCTTGGAGAATTAAAATCATTAATTTTTTTTCTTTTGTAAAATAGGATCCCCACTTACCGAAAATCTGCTCTGAATCGTAAAATAAAAATGAATTAAAACAAGGACATCATTTAATTAGAAAAGTTTTTAATTGCTTTTATTTATAAGATATATTATAGACATGATTGTTTTAAGAAAAGAAAAATTCAATGAATAATGAATTTTTACAAGAATTGTTTTCATTTTGAAAAATTTTAATTAGGATAATTCATAAAGTTTTAAATCTTTTAAATTTCTATATTAATTTGTAACGATTAGGTGATATTGTTATTAAGTAAAAATTATAATTACTAATCATGAATGAAAAAGCTTGCTACAACTCAACAAACCCAATATTTTTAAAACAATTATAATTTTTTTCGTGTGTGCATAAACGTGCCGTTTTTGTAAATACGGACGACCATTCACGACATTATCAGAAAATAGGAACGATAACCATTTAAAGCCAAAATACCTAAAATACATTAAAACGGAGAATATTTTCTTAAATTTTTAAGATTACTTGATAGTTACTACATACTAAAAAGGCGCTCACGTTATATTCTTGAAGTATTTTTACAGATGGGTACCCTCGTAGAAAAAATACACTACCGTCTAAATATCAATTTGTCAACCTGTGAATACCTTAAATAAAGCCTCTACCTCAATGTTAAAAATGCATTTCTTGATATTTTAAACTAAAAGTAAGTAATATTTATTTCAAATCAGATTAATTAAACTTTAACTCAGCTAATATTCCCCACGTAAAATTTCAGAAAATTATATTTTATTTTTGGAAGATTTTTTAATAAAGACAATTACGTTGTGCTGACGAATGGCTAAAAATGACGTTAAAATCTGCGATTTAAAAAAGAAAAAACTCCTACCAGTCAATTTAAATTAGTTTTGAAATACAGAAAAAGTATTTTGCTTAGTGGAAATATTAAATTTAATCTAAATTAGCTTGATATTAAAACTAAAATAAAATCTTCAAGAAGATTTTTCATTTTTAAAAAGACATTTTAGACCTTATCACGTTTCTTTGGAGGTGCCTGCACGACAGTTTCCAAAAATACATAAGCAAAATATCGAATGAAAATTACATTAAAGATTATTATATGAACATAAATGAGATGAATGTTTTATAAAAACAATACGCTCAGTGCAGTAATTGTTCATCATGGACAGATCAGATCATTTAACGGTATGTCGATGTAGTTTCAAATAAATGTGTCTGCGTGTGCCGCGCGCGTGCGCCTATGACACATTTATTTTTGAGATCAAACTTAACTCGTTTACAGATTGCGACAGCTAGGGAGATGTGATTAAAAATTAAATATACTTTAATATAAAAAATAAATATTAAGTATTATTATTCTTTAGGTGATAAGCATTATAACATAGCACAACCAAATAGCTACACTGTGGAAAATGAATTTTCCACAATATACGCATTTTTTTTACATATGGTTATTATTAACTTTTATGAAAAACGACATTCTTGTACATGTAGTTATGGATATTGTACATTAATTACTAATATTTTTAATTAAAAACTAATTAGTAACATTCAGTTGTTGACATTAATAGCAATCTGCTGATGTGTTAAAAATAAGGAATAATGCAATAATAAAAATTTAAATTTCATCTCTGTGATAGATTTCGCGGGTTTTAACTAATTACTTAAACCAAGGGCAGATAACTCGTAGACAATTTGAAACAAGTTATCGTTACATAGCGAGCTTTGAGTAAATGACTGGCGGAACAGGGTTTAAGAGAGTTAATAAAAAGATAAAATTTATTAAGAGCTACAAAGGACAGGAAGTTATGGAGAGCTATGACCGTCACCGTCCTGAACGGACAGCGGCACACAGAAGAAAAAGAAAAATAGTATTTTTAAGCCCCCGGGAAAAATTTTTTTTAATTTAATCGATGACGGTTATCCTCAAAAAACAAATAAAAAGAAACAAAGGTATAGTTGTCTGGGACTCACGAACAAACTTAACAAATAAGAATGGATCAGTAAGTTAATTAATATCCAATAATCAGCATTTCAAGCTAGTGTAGGGTAAAAATGGAAAAACGATTTTTCATTTTATTTCATTGTGGCTGTCGGACGGATTTTGCAAAGATTGATTTTTTTTAGTAAATGTAAAGAAAGTAGTACAATATTTCAAAAAGCGACCGTGTTAGCTAAATCTGCCTTTTTCAGTGTGTGTGTGGAGAGAGAGAGAGAGAGAGAGGTGGGGAGAGAGAGAGGTGGGAGGGAGAGAGAGAGAGGTGGGAGGGAGAGAGAGAGAGAGAGAAAGAATGTTAAAAAATAGATCAAACACACATACAACTACAATGAAGGGTTCCTGAAATGATTTCGACCCTACCAAGAAAGGATTTTTGAAAATATGATGTTTGTTCCTCGTGAGATTAGAGAGTTATTTTAAAATATTGGAGTCAGTTAAGGATGGGTAATCATTTGCATCTTCACAGGGTAGAATGCAACACAGTGTTAGGTTTAAAAATGGGGGCTCCACAAGCGTACGTGTAGGTAGAGACAAAAAAAGTTACTTCCCTCGACCTTGTATTATTCAACATATCACAATAATATCAGGCAACACTAGAGCACGATGTGGAAGTGCAACCTAGAAAACCAGATCCCCTTACTTAATACATTTTTGAAACAAGAAAATCATGTGCTAGGAAAAAGTGGTCAATAATATGAAAATCAATTATAATACCGACGTCCATCGGTACGAAATAAAAATTATCTGATCACCAGGGTTTTCGAATGAAAAGTCCATTAAGTGTTTTTTTAGTGTTGTTTTCTGTTTATTAACAGTCACTAACAACAATATTGTTAACCAGTGTTAAAATAATATGACGAATTTCCAATACTTTAAAAATGTATCAAGAAACTTCTCTTATTACTATAGTGAAAAGTTAAGAACAAAATCTCGCTTGTTGAACTGAGTGGTTTCCATTTATTTTAATCGAAATTTACCAAGTAATAGCAGCAGTAGTAGTGACCTAATTTTTTTTTCTACCAATGAAAAGCTGTTCATTTTTCAAATAGATTTTTATCCAAATTTCGTTCCCGCTTAATTTATTAAGAAACATATTTTTCTTGATAAATTTTCTAAGGCCATCAAAAAATGAATCCGTAAACTTGAAAGGATCACAACGAAAACTAGTCTACATGATATGTCTAAATTATTTAAACAAACCTGTTTAAATATATATATATATATATATCAGTTGTATGGATATGAGTTGGAACAAACTCATATCCATACAACTGAATATGTTAGCTCTCTCTCTCTCTCTCTCTCTCTCTCTACACACACACACACACATATATATATATATATATAAATTTTGGCAGCAACCTTTATTTTTAAACATATGACGGATAAGGAAAGTTTAATTCATTTTTTATTTAGTTTTTTTCCCAGCGTTCTTACATTTTTCCGATGGGTGGAAGGAAGAGAGTATAAAAACAAAATGTCCATGTCGTCAATTGTCCCAACAGTTTTCGGCCACTTCTTTAGCCATTTTCAAGGGGGCTGTTTTTGGTGTAGTTTATTTATCATGCTGTGAAGAAAATTGATGATAAAGTGGAAAAGATCTTTCTGTGACGCGTTTCCACATTGTCATTAATTGTCCTAACATAGCAAAATTTATATATTTTTCTCGTCTGTGTGTATCCTCACATTTACATCGATAAAGTCTATTGGAGGACGAAACGTGTTGGTAAAGAATAGTTTGCCATTTGTTTTTGTTCACTCTCTCTCTCCCTCTCTTACACACACCCATATATATATATATATATATATATATATATATATATATAAAAAATTATTTATTCGAAAATTATAACAATGACTACAAAATAGCCATCACTTGATAAGACACCAGAAGTGTTGGTAAAAAATGGCTATTTTTTGTAGTGATTTTATAACATATTTATGTTATAATTTTTGAATAAATAATTATATTTGCTCTACTCTGTATTAAGTACACTTTTAAGAATATTAGTATTTGTTGGTTATTGGAATTTATTCCGTACACCAATCCTATACTTGTGTATATATATATATATATATATATAGTTGCGTTGATGTGAGTTTGTGATCCAGAGTTTCACGCCCTTTGCTATCGTCAGACAAACTCTCTCTCTCTCTCTCTCTCTCTCTCTCTCTCTCTCTCTCTCTCTCTCTCTCTCTCTCTCTATGCCATATATACGCGGTACTTAGCAAGCGCTCGCTATTAGTGATAGAGCTAACAAACTCACATCAATCCAATTATATATATATATATATATATATATATATATATATATATATATATATATATATATATATTCTAACAAGCTCACATCAATCCAACTATGCATACACAAAATCTGACACGTTGTTGAGAATGATGAGGACAAGTTCTGTTAAGATTAAACTTATCAACTGAAAAATACAACACTCCTGAAGAACAATATTTATAAACATGGGGGTAGTTTTTTAGACTGAAGAAAACCTAGCAATTAAAATTAAATCTCGTTTTTTTTTTTGTTTTTTTTTTGAGCTTATCGTTGCACTAATCTAAATTTGCCAAGTAGCAGTAGCAGTGTAGTAGTAGTAGTAACGATAGTTGTTTGATCCAGTAAAGCATTCCTCTTTTTCTTAATCTACTGACCTTGTTTGTTTAATTATGTACGCGTAGAAGATAGGTTTTTATGTTGTAGTGATTGTCGTATTTTCATATCAGGAGATAATATAAAAGGTCTACAAGAGGAATTGTTACGTTAGTAAAAAATGCACTGAGCGACAAGTGAATATTATTGAATGCCTTTTTACACGTCACAAGTTGGATGTCTTTTGAAATTGCTTTACTTAAGGAAGGTCATTTTTTTAAGATGAGGTTTAGAGCAATTGATCCAGGTTGGTTTAAGATTAAGTTAGGCTCAAGTGACTTTTATAAAGTTTCGTCAAACAAAAGAAGAAAAACAGAAAACTCGGGACAGTTCCACTTCCATCTATCAGTAAAAAAATGAAATTTTTGTTTCATAGGCGTACGAAGCTGGCGGGGCAGAAGCATTCCTTTATTTTCTGGGTAAAACAAAAACTGGTTATTTTTAGGGCAACTTAGCTAATTCCGCGGCCAAATTCCTTCTACCCTTACTATAAAATCAAAATATCCTACCATGCGCCTAAAATTTAGTTAAATAGGCGAATGAACGGGGGGGGGGAGCGGTGTTTACTAGAAAGCAATCATGGGAAACACGGGATTATCTGTCTATATTTCTGAGACGAAGTAGTCCTCATCTTTGTTGTCACGACGTTTTAGACGTTATACGCTCCGGTCTTCTTCATGTGAGGGGATTTCGAAATAAGGCGGCCAGTTCGAAATTCCAATCATCGGAAGAATGCCAGAGCGTACAATGGTCGAAATGTTGTGAATATGGCAACAAAGATGAAGACAACAGTCCAAACAATGTAAATAGTGTAAATAGTTATAATACCTCATCTCAGAAATATAGACTGTGAATATGACAATAAAGATGAGGACAACAGTCCAAACAATGTAAATAGTGTAAATAGTTAAAATACCTCATCCCAGAAATATAGACTGTGAATATGACAATAAAGATGAGGACAACAGTCCAAACAATGTAAATAGTGTAAATAGTTACAATACTTCATCTCAAAAATATAGACTGTGAATATGACAATAAATATTAGGACAAAAAAAAATTCTCTAAATAGAATTTAAAACACATGTCCAGTGCTGATAATTATGTTGGCTAAGAATAAATTCAAAGAAACCCTCACAATAAGATAACCTCGCCTCTCATTTAGCTAGGTCGGCACTCGATAAGCAATAGTAATTCAACCTGATCTCATTTAACGGTAGATAAATAATAGTAGTTCAATTATGATGATTCGATTGTTTAATAATGTCAAAAATATTGTGATAAGATTGTATCACTATTTTAATTAATTAGGTTTATTTCAGGTAATCCACTTTTTCATTCAATTAGTTGTTACTGCTCGGACCGAGGTCACAGTAAACGGTAATGAAACCAAAAAAAGTTATGGTAAATCTATCCGACATAGTTTAAGGCTAAGGCGCTTCGTCAAACGACGGTAGAGTAATGGATAGAGGCTCAGATTGAGGAATCAGAATCCATTACATCCACTTACGTGCTAATACCCTTGGGAAAGGGATAAATCCTCTTATTCTACCCCCCCCCCCAGCTATGGGCAAATAGCAGGATAGACCCGGTTCTATAGCCTTGGATGCCAACTGGTCTACCGCAGAAAGAAATGGCATCCTACTGCGGGAAAGAAATCTGACTCGTCAGTCATGTATTGAAAGATACATAATCGCCTAAGCGTGTATCACGCATGACACATGACTGACTGAGTTCAAAAAAAAAAAAAGAAAAGGAAAAAAAATACAGGGATTATGGGTTCATCTTCCTCATAGGTCAAGTCGAGCATTACTCCTTGCTGCCTAGTCTCAAGTTGTTGGGGAGAGGGTTACTTCTTTGACTGTCCATCCGTATGAAATACCCGCCTCGGCTTACTGAGCTGCTGTAACATGAACAAAAAAAATCTACAGATGTTATTCTTCATACGCGAGACAACTGGCGCAGGTGGGAGAACTTAGTTCAAGGATAACAACAACAACAACCACAACAACAATAATAATAATAATAATAATAATAATAATAATAATAATAAAGCGGGATCTTTCAAGTAGATTCATTGTCACCATGACTCTTCTGTCTTGCATTAGCGACACTCAGCTGCCTACTGAACAATTGTAACTACGGATACAATAGCAAACTGAATCACCTGTTCTATATTGATGATCTTAAAACCTTTGCCAAGGATGACAACCAGCAGGAAAACCTACTAGGCATTATCAAAACCTTCAGCGAAGACATTAGGTTGGAGTTCGGAATCGACAAATGTGTCAAAGTCATATTCAAAGGCGGTAAACTAACGAAAACTACAGATTTAGACTTTGATATCGACAACAAGATTAAGGAATTAGGCCAAGATGATACATACAAATACTTAGGAATTAATGAAGGAGACGGAATAAAACATTCAATTATGAAGAAAAAGATCCAAAAAGAATATTATAGTAGAGTGCGTTTGATACTAGAAAGCGAACCTAATGGGGCCAATAAAATGAACGTTATCAATACCTTAGCTATACCCATAATAACATACAGCTTCAACATTATTAAATGGAAGATGAAAAAAATGTTTACCCCAATGAGAATGCACCACCCGAAATCAGATGTTGATAGGCTGTAAATACCAAGAGCTTTAGAAAGCCGAGGTTTAACGCAACTTGAATTAACTCTAAAAACTACAACAATCAGACTGAAAGCCGACCTCACAAAAACCAATGACGTTCTTCTACAAATAGTAAAACACCAAATTCCCTCTATCAACAAAGAAGCTGCACTCTTCAAGAAACAGCTTAATATAACTGAAACCCTATAAAAAAAAAAAAAACGAAGTGGACACCATCTACGCAAAACGAATAAAACCGAAAGCAAAACAAATGAAATTACGAAAAAGAAGTAAAAAAAGGACAAGGTTGGGGACAAGGCGTTGCATGGCAAATATATAAAAAGAATAAAAGAAGCAGATGTGGACCAACAGTAAACACATCAGTGACTGAAGAGCACCGGGTTGAACACTGAGACAGAATGTCTAATTATTGCAGCTCAGGGCCAAATCCTCCAACCAGGTCCTATCACTGTCACATAATCAAGTATGGAACTAACCCGAAATACAGGATCTGCAGAAAATATGATAAAACAGTCGACCATATTATCTCAGGATGTCCGGAACTAACAAAAATGATATAACGCTTTCCATTTTCTGGAATAATAATAATAATAATAATACCCGTACCCATCAGTGGCTACGCAGTGCAGGGTTGAAAGCGGAAACTGAAGGTTTTATCCTTGCTGCGCAGGACCAATGCTTGCTAACTAGGAATTATCAAGCACATATACTAAAATATTGTGTCAGCCCAAAATGCAGATTCTGTGATAAATATCCAGAAACGATTGATCATCTTGTATCAGGTTGCACGATGTTGGCACCCACTGAATATAAAACCCGACATGACAGAGTGGGCCAATATCTGCACTGGAAAATCTGCAACTTCTACGGGAAGGAAACTGAAAGAAATGGGTATGAACACCACCCAGACCCGGTTACGAAAATAGGACCTGTTACAATTCTATAAGATTACACAATACACACTGACAGAACAATCAAGGCCAACCGCCCAGATATTGTTATTAAAGACCACAAACAAAAACGGTGCCTCCTTATTGATATGGCAGTCCCTGCTGACTGCAATGTATCTTTGAAGATATTCAAAAAGCTGTCAAAATACAAGGACCTTGAAATAGAAATCTCGAAAATCTGGCATATGGGAACATCAACAATCCCTGTTGTAGTTGGAGCCCTAGGACTGGTTGGAAAAGATTGCAGTAGACTAATTGAAGGGATTCCTGGATGTCCATGCCTCAAGGAGATAAAAAAAATTGTTCTGACAAGTACAGCCCACACCTTACGAAGGGCTTTATCTATGTAATTTTTTTTTTTTTTTTGTCAGTGGAAAGTGTTATGATGCCATTTCTAACCTTAGGTCCCTGGGCGGGACCCGGAAAGAAATGTGTAAACGCCAGAAATCAAAGAAAATAATAAATAATAATAATAAACCTACTCTACATGGATGATCTCAAACTCTTTGCCAAAGACGACAATGAGTTGAAAGGCCTCCTCAATATTGTAAAATACTTCAGTGATGACATAGGTATGGACTTCGGATTAGATAAATGTGCAAAAGTAACATTCAAGAAAGGAAGAATTACAGAAACACCCTTAATAGATTTAGATTTTGTCACAAAGATTAGGGGACTGGAGCATGGTGAAGCTTATAAGTACCTAGGAATTAGCGAAGGAGACGGCATACAACACCCCCAAATGAAGGAGAAGGTAAGAAAGGAGTACTACAGGCGTGTATGTCTGGTACTAAATACTGAGCTAAACTCAAAAAACAGAATATCAGCCATAAACACCTTGGCTGTCCCTGTGGTGCAATACAGCTTTAATGTCCTTAATTGGACCATAGCTGAAATTAAGCGAATGGACGCCAAAACGAGAAAACTTCTCACTTGCTACCGCATGCATCATCCCAAAGCTGATGTTAAA